TGCTTTCAGTTAGTTCAAGGTCTTTACCATGGAGATTGGGTAGTAAGTCACAGCCATAAAAACTCGTTGTTAATATCATTCTTTTCCATATCTTAATACTTGAATACTGATGCAAATCCCTACTGTTTAGACCAACAGAGAGGAGGGAATTAACAGTGCGCCTTCCTTTAGTACAGCTCTTCCAAATATATAGTTTAAAAGAAAGATTACTTTGGAGAAGAACACCCGCGTACTTTACACTATCAGATAGGGGTATGTCATGATCTCCAAGATGATAAGCATGCATACGCATTAGTTGCTTCTTTTTTTGAAACACCACAATGTTACTTTTTGATGCATTATAGGTTAATCGCCATTTGGATGCGTAATTAACAACTGTGTCTAAAGCTAGTTGTAGACTTTTAGGGCTGTAACTAATAAGTGTAGTATCATCAGCAAGTAGTACACATGGCAATCTAACGTTATATATACATATTCCAGTGTCTACCTGCCGGAGCTCAGTTATGAGGTCATTTATGTACACGAGAAATAACCAAGCTGAGATAACTCTACCCTGACCGATGCCTTGTTTAACAGCAAAGGCATCAGACTGTCCACCCTTATACTGGACGCAAGCATACATAGAAGTGTAGCAGTGACGTAGCAGAGACCACATTTTACCTCTTATACCCAGATGATAAAGTTTAACAAAGAGACCCGATTGCCATATTCGGTCAAAGGCCTTCTCGTTATCTAGGAATGCTGTGTAGATACATGACCCCCTATTAAGATAGGTTTGCACACATTCAATAAGGGTAAATAGCGACATGATAGCGCCATGTTCTTTCCTAAATCCAAATTGTAGCATATCGGGAAAATTGCAAGCATTTTGGGAGGTCCACGTTTCTAGTCTTTCTAGGAGAATTTTCTCAAAAAGTTTACTTAAACAAGATGTAAGCATAATACCTCTATAATTGGCCGGGTTTTGATTTATCCTTTTTACCCTTGTAGATGGGTATAATCACCCCGTGTCTATACGCAGCAGGTGTGACGTAAGTCTGAGAATAGAATTAAATAATAGTGCTAACTTCCCTACCAAAAGCTCACCACCAAACATCACATGCTCATTATTAATTTTGTCAGGGCCAGGCGATTTGTTTCTACTCAGTTTCTGTATATATCTTGTGATTTCGAGAGCGGATATGTCTGCACAGAGTATATTATCAACCCATGAATTAGTTTCATTGCTGGAGTCTAATTTGACAATTTCACGGTCAATTCGATGTTTGAAATCTTGATCAAATTGGTCACAATCGTACGGTTTTGCTAAATCTGCATAGTATCTACCCATAGCTGACAGATGTCAGTGGGAGATGATGCACTGAAGTTATCATACACAAGTTTATCAACTCCGATTTTGTGCTTACGTAGCTTTCGCACAGACTTATAAAACGTATTCACATCGGTCTCACAGGTAGTTTCTAGGTCCGAGTACAGATTCTTAGTATAGGCCCGCTTTGACTGTTTATGGCGGCGGCGGAATTCTCGCTTGGCCTGCTTATATGATTTATATGAATCGAAATTACCCCCGTTGGCTTATCCTCGCACAACCATCGCCTCTTAGCAACGCGCATGTTAAAATGTTCGTTATGCAGCCCATCCTGCTTCCAGTAAGTTTTAAATGCGCTTTAAAATTACCTACTGGTAGAGACTGACTACTGGCTAATCATACATTCGCTTATGATTAATGGGTCCAGGATACCCATCACATTAGACTTGTGACGTCACTTCCTGTGATAATGAATGGATCCAGGGAATCCATCACATTAGACTGGTGACGTCACTTCCTGTAATGACGAATGGGTCCAGGGTATCCATTACTTTAGACTGGTGACGTCACTTCCCGTGATGATGAAAGGGTCCAGGGAATCCATCACATTAGACTGGTGACGTCACTTCCTGTAATGACGAATGGGTCCAGGGTATCCATTACTTTAGACTGGTGACGTCACTTCCCGTGATGATGAAAGGGTCCAGGGTATCCATCACATTAGACTGGTGACCTCACTTCCTGTAATAACGAATGGGTGTCGGGTATCCATTACATTAGACCGAGGACTTACCGCAAAAGATCATGAAGGATGATCCTCTTGACGTTCAACAGAAACTTTCCTGCACTTGATTCATTACACCAACAGGTAGACAATTGTCCATCACATGCGCTTCATTAGATTGTCCAATCTATATGACTGGAGACAGTATTAGAGGATGCCAGTGAGCCATATACTAAGGCCGGAAGGCGTAACATAACACGTGATCGAAATACGTAACACAGAACTTCATTGTAATAGTTACGTGTCACGTGAAACTGACGGAATAGTCACGTCAGATCTTGTTTACATGGACGTGAACCGGGGGAGTTGAAGATTTGTATGTCATTTCCTACAAGTTGATCGACCTACATTTGCCACAATATATTTGCAAGATTTCAAAATACAGTTCATAATTAAACTTACACAATTCCTCTCGGTGAGACGGCTACATTGAACCGGCTGGTCAGTCTTGTTACGCACCGTGTACAATCGTTGCTCATCCCCATTACAGGCCGGCGGGATGTGGTCGGAATGTTGTACATCACGGCGTGAAAGAACCAACAAGCAGACAAACTCACTGGTGGCCATATTATCGGTCTGACATATGGGGATCCCTGGTCCACGCTGGATCATTTACATACTGTAGCTTCAGTTGTGCTGACTTATCAGGACCCGGTTGTATCAAACTTTTTAATGAAGCATTAACGTGCCATTAAACGTTCATTAACTAATGTATCGTTAAATTCTGTTTACTAACGTTTTAATGACGTCGTGTTGTCATTAGGGCGTCATTAACTTAATGAAGGTCCTGGGGTATCATTAGAGCGTCATTAAACTTCCTGGAAAAGTGAACATTGCGCCAGAATTTTGTTTGCGCAGCACTGGATCTACCTACAGCTATAAAATGACACAGAAATGTAGAGTATTAAATGTCCCATCACATGGTATAAACTCAAGTGCAAATACTTCGGCAGTTTGAAAAGTAGACTCTGCTAAATGTTATCCCTAATTTTGTTATGCGTTAAAAACAGTAAATGTCCATGTTTTTTATCGTGCACTGATAAAAGTACTGTGCTACTATAATTTCAATTCGACATCTTTACTGAAAGTGTGAGTTAACAAAATTCTGCCTGATACCTGAACGAGATAGGTATGTATTAAAATAGTTTGCGTGCTTATGTATAACGTTAAACACTCAATCTTAAAAATGACTCGCAATAGGTGTTGAAAATGGATTTTCCTCTATGACGTCAAATGACTACAAAAAGGTCATACCCTTATAAAGATAAGGGGGCATCACTCCGCTGTGCTTAATACTAAGTGAATTTAACTCAGATCACTTGGAGAGAATTTGCTGTGAATAAGGACACTATATTTTCGTGATGTTTTGTTCACGGAATTATCGAACACAACGATACTCAAAACATTTGCGACAAACGCGCACCTGGCCAATGATTATACGCCATTGTTTTGTCTATAAAACAACATAAACAAGTTCAATTAACAAGACATTTCCTTTAAAAACGTGTGCATATATACATTTTACATAGGTTCAAAATACTAATTGTTGATAAGCGGATTTTAGTACTGAAAGTGTAATCCGCTTGTATTCTTATATTCAACCGACTTTAACCACAAATGTGTACAACAATGTTGACGTATGACATCACTACCGATGACCGATTTCTCATGAAATGGCGGCTTCGTGGATATGGGTGCCCACGATTTTACGAGGGAACCTTTGTCCATAAATGTATGATGTAAGTAATCAGAAACATTCTGACTATGTGCGTATTGTTATTTGTTTTTATTGTTGAAAAAGCCAGAAATGCCGATAATTGACTAATTGTCGTTCTCCATGATTTTGCGTTAGGCATGGCCGCTGCACAGAATTTCGTATTGATGTATCAAATTACTGTATTGTATCTGTTTTTAATTTTCTAGTTCTTGCTACGGTACTGCATATTCTAAAAATATTGAGCTCATGGTCATACGAATACACGAACTGATGTCTAAAAAATTGAGAAAATGCTGCACAGTATAAAATATGATTTTGCTTTGTTTACATTTCTACAAGCACTGTGTTACTGTATGAGTTCAACGTTTCGTTTTCACACCCAGTGTGTTTCGTTTTTTACTAGACACTTAGTTTTAGTGAGAAAGACCATTTGTAAGTTGATTCTAAAAGGGAATTCAGTGATGCATTTATCAGAACTGAATATGAAATATAAGTGATGTAATAGGCGTCCTATGACCGGCCTTAGCGAAACTTGACTTTGTACACACTATCCAAAATGGCGGAAAGTTTATTTTGGCGATCGTGTTCGTGTATTTTCTAAAACATCCCAACCGATTCTAGGTTTATTGGCGACGTTTCAGAATTATTGAGATTTGTTTCTTCACAGCAGATGAAATGTTTGTTTTGTACCGAGGTTTAGCCGTAAAGATGCCATTTTGACAGCCGACCGATAGTAACGCTTGCGTGTTTACGTCGCGGAATTGTGGGAAATATTTAGGGGAATCCCAGAATTTAATGAAAATATTTACGTAAGGACGTAATTAGATAATGATACGCTAATAAGTGTTTGATAAACCGTTTTTAATGTTGCTATTATCTAATGATGCATTAAGGATTTAATGTATCATTAGGGTTCAATGTTGACATTAGTTAATGAAGCAATGATACAACCGGATCCTGGATCTAAATTTTCAAAGCTCTCTTAGCGCTAAGATAGTCGTAAGTGTCATTCATTAACATTAACTTACGACTATCTTAGCGCTAAGAGAGCTTCGAAAATCTAGGCCCATGTGAATTTATCTACGGCCGACTTCGCGTGCGAACTCTTGTTCGACTTGAGAGTGTGAAGTGCGCATGTCTTGGCAGGTTACTCGCTCGAACTCACGTGGGTTGCTCTCTAGTCAACAAACATGGCGTCCTTTCGCACGTTTCACAGACTCTACATCCTGTTTAGCGATCTCATGGGTGACGATGAAGAAAACTATGCTCTATTTCTAAGTAAATTAAGACAGTGGGGCGTGGTCGCCAGCATACCTCGTTCTGTGCCAAAAGCAGTCGACTACACTGACATCTTTGCTGAATTATCCGTGAATGATGATTACTTTTCTGAGCATTTTCGTGTGAGTCGACACACATTTGACATTTTACTGGAATATATTGAACCGTCCATTTCAAGACACAACAGAGGAGGAAATCACCCTGTGCCACCAGAAAAGCAGCTGTATATTTTCTTATGGTATCTCAGTAATCTTTGTTCCATGAGAGAAGTGTCACAACTGTTCGATGTCTCAATGTCTACTGTACATAAAGTTGTAACCAATACTTCCAAAGTGATTGCATCATTGCAGAATCGTGTAAGTTGTCAAGTTACGTTTAAGTATTAACAATTAGCCCACCTACATTAAATATTAGTAGTTGCAGGAATCATTTAACTGATAATCATATCTTGGATAATTTAATCATGTGTATCATAATTATTTTTTGTGAGTTACATTGTCTTCCAGATTGAAATGAAATGCTACATTCTTGTATGAAACGAAAAGTGAAGAAACTACAATAAAGACATGCTAGAGAGCGATTTTCCAGCTATAAATTTCAGATTGTCCACCCACCACAAGCAACTGTTTTATCATATGTCGAAATGAATGTTGTAAAATGTTTAACTGTATGTATATTAATCCACTTTTAACAGATGATTAGATGGCCAGATGAGCAGAGAAGAGCTGAAATAGCAGCAACAGTGCAGCAGAACTCAGGTTTTCCAGGAGTCGTAGGCTTTCTCGATGGAACACACATCAGACTGTCATCTCCCATAGGACAGGACAGAGATTACTATAATCGTAAGGGTTATCCCTCTATGCAGCTGCAAGTGAGTACATACTATTGTCTTTGTTTCTTCTGCATCTGCTTGACTGTCCTGATATATATTGATGTGATATTATTAAAAATATTATCATACTTTTCTTTTTTTTGGCTCATTGGTAAGAACATGATCCACTAATGTCATGCTTCATGGAACTAAAACAGGGATGTTACTTTTGCTAGTCTGTTGACCCATCATTCAGTATGCACCTTTGTACACTATGTTACGTTACATTGCCCTGCAGCTGAAACATTGCTGAAAGACAAAGTTGTAGAAAATGTCTCATTTTAGAACAATTTTTCTTTCAGTTAGCTGTGGATCATGAACTGCAAATAATCAGTGCATATACAGGTTGGCCAGGATGCTGCCATGATGCCAGGGTTCTGCGCAATTCCATGATCTATCAAAAGGCTGAAAGAGGACAGCTTTTCAGTAATGCTCAACATCTTTTTGCTGACAATGCCTACCCTCTTAGAAACTGGCTTATCACACCTTTCAGATGTGTAGGAAACATCACACGTCAACAACGAAGATTCAACAAGAGATTCTCAGGTCAGCGACAAACAGTCGAAAGGGCTATAGGTCATCTAAAGGGCAGATTTAGAAGACTTCGAGAAATCCCATTTCACAACGCAGATGACGTCTGTCATATGATAATTGCAGCATGCGTTTGTCATAACATCTGTGTCCTTGCAGATGATGATGTTGAACACTTCATGGACAATGATGGATTACTGCATCCAAACAACTATCAAAAAACATTTACCAGAATGGTTACCATGGTGTAGCTAGACGATTGCAGTTAATGAGATATGTGTGATACTGATGAGGCTACTTTGGAGTTAATATGGATTGCATGTGAATAAAACATGCAAGCTTCTGTGATATAAATGTACCAAAAGAAATCTCAGCTACTTACACTTTCAAAAGCAGTAATTGAGTTATTGTGGTCTGAAATATGTACATTTTTTTTCATCTCTGCAATGTAATAGCTGAAATCATGTTCCAGTAATGGTTTCTTTAAGTAACTGAGGCTTAACTCTTTCCCTTTTCAGGGTCAGCAACTATTGCAGTCAAACCGTGTAGAAATATAAAATGCAAAGAAAATATTTCAGTTGTGTTTATTAACAAAAAGAGAAACAACTTTCCAAAGGAGTTCTCACAAAACTAATGCTTCTTTAACATTGTTATTTGTCATCAGTATATCACAACCATAATGACAGTACGTCCAGACAGGAACAATGTCAAAAATGACATATTTGGCACATCATAGAATCTCTGTTAAAAAGTCTAAAAAACAAAATAAGAAAAATAGCACCGCAGCATTCTAGCTTCCTGGTCTTCATTAAAACAAAGACTGCATATATTTCGTTTACATGAGCGAGTGAGATTTTCTTCTACACACAATTCACCAATATACCCAACTGAACCTTGTACTAGGACCATAACATTGGTTTTATATCCGTATCACAAACTACATGAAAGTTTCAGAACAATCGGTTAGACTGACTGACTCAGTTTGGTTTTATGCTGCTTTTAGCAATATTCCAGCTATATCACGGCGGGGGACACCAGAAATGGGCTTCAAACAATGTACCCATGTGGGGATTCGGGTCACGGGTCTTCGGCGTGACAAGCCAACGCTTTGACGACTAGGCTACCCCACCGCCCCCAATCAGTTGGAAGAGTTGCTTTCAGAACAAGTATCCCTTTAGGACTGATTGACATAATAAAACTTTGCAAACCAATTTAACAGAGGCAACATTTACTTTATAACTAAATCACCTCAGTCAATCTGTGAGTGAGAGAACAAGTAGTATCTGAGTATACACTACAGATGCTGAATCACTGCTCAGTTCTATGAACTCATAAAAACATGAAAACATAGTATTTTTATTATTAATAACCATCTGATATCACAGAAATGTGGAAATCACAGAACACTAAATATGATAACTGGATGGCATACATTTGCTAACAACTTCAAAAGAAAAAATGTATCTCTTATCCACTTCACTTTGTGGCAGATGAAAAACAAATAAATCAAAATCCTGTTACAGGTATTTAAGCCTTTCAATACGCTGAAGTGAACTGTGCAAGAATCAAGCTCTACACACTGTGAAATCGTTATCCACAGTTACATTAACCTGCACTGATATCACAGAAATGTGGAAATCACAGAACACTAAATATGATAACTGGATGGTATACATTTGCTAACAAACTCAAAAGCCAAATATATCTCTTATCCACTTCACTTTTTGGCAGATGAAAAGCAAATAAATTAAAATCCTGTTACAGGTATTTAAGCCTTTCAAGTCAATATGCTGTAGTGAACTCTACAAGAAACAAGTGTTGATATACTAGTAAAATCCAGAGTAACATTAAACCTGCAGAGTTCAATCTTGTTTGTAATGCAGGAATAAAACAAGTAAAACAAAACATGAACTCTAAATGCAACAGTTTGAACTTTTGAGTGCAGTAATCTCCATTTCACTCATTCTTAGTTACCATACATGTCTGTTCGACCTCTCTCTGATAAAGATCCAGCATTCTATCTAATTTAGTCATTTTCTCAGTAGTGTTGATGTCGGAGTTCTTGCTTCATTTCAGCATGCTGTTCCCTCATCAGCGCAATCATCTCCTCAGACCTTCTTTTCAAAGCTTTTCCACCTTTTTCGGTTTCTTCTCAGTTGAACTTTGATCCATCTCCTTCATTAAAGATGCATTTGGGTCTTTGTCAGTGTCTATTGTAACACCTGGTTTAGTGCCAGCCTTATTTCCATACATATTATCAAACGATGTTTTGTGTCGAAAATACTTGACTTCACTACCAGACGGCGCATCAATGATTTCTTTCCACTTTTCTTCAGAGAGAAGAATATTTGTTGAATGCCTGTTGTTGTGTAACTTTACAATTGATAGTTTCGAGTTCAGCCACAATCTCCTTCCACAAAGTAGAATGATTTCTAGTAGAAATGAAATCATCATTTCTCTCATGTCTGAGACAAACAAGGTATTCTTCTTCCTTGTCAGTCCAGAAGTGAAGGGCATTAGCCATAGAAGATGTACTTGGCACTTCTTCATCAACACGATGAATATCTGGGGTGCTGGACATTGTTGCGGGAGTATCCGAGGGTTGACTTGAATGTCTATCCAAAAGGCTTGTTAATATGGACTGCTTTACAGCTGATCTGAAACAATCATGGTTCCAGTGAAATCCTATATTATGTTTACCAACATTAACAACAAGAAGAACAAAAGAGCATCTAATCTTTGATTATTTTGAGAATGCAAGTCAAAAGTAATGGAAATATTACATTATATGACACATAGCATATATACTTCTCTTCAAAGGTTTAAACTTTTAAGGTTCAAACAGAATTTTTAGTTTAATCTCAAATGCTAATTAACAGTACATGTGGCAAAGATGGATGTTTAAACAATATTTACCTTCAAACAATAATATTTAATTAGCCGTACCTGTTGTAGCCTCAGTCAAAAGATCAGCAATATCTCTTGGACAAGGAATGCAGACATCTTTGCCTCCTTTCTTAACTAGGAGCTTTACTTGGCTGCTGAAGAAACAATGTAATCAGGTAAACATAACCTCTTCAGAAATAAATGACATTCTCTTGCACATACTTGTACATGTTTCCCGAGATATGTAACTTTAAAATATGAACCGAAAATGATGAGCGAGTGTTATAGGTTTCATGTAAGCATCAATCTCTGAGCGAAATGGGTACAGTTAATCAAATTTTGTGTATGCCTGACCAAAATTCAAACCCCTGCCACCAGGGCTACAAGATTAGTGCTCTAACCATTCTCCTATGAATCAAACCAACATTTACAAGGCTAACATTGTCAGATACAGTATTCTTACCACCTTTGCAATGCATGACAATTTTTATATTCCTAAAACTATTCTTGAACATAAACCCCCAACATTTGTTCTTATTTCCAGGTAACCCTGCAGACAGTTCATACTGTCCTAGTGGAAGTAGACATGGTGGTGGTGTGTTAAAGAAATTCACCTATTCTTTTCAGACATTTTTCAGGCACAGGCAGTGCAAGTAATGTCTAACTGCTCGCCGGTCAACACCAGTTCAATTTCAAACTCTTCACAGGCTGGATGGAAGACAAAGCCACAGTGATGACACCTTTAAGAGGACCCTGGTGAACAGAAGCAAATGGGAGTAATCATTTCCTATTCCAAACAAACAAAATATGTTTAGCTAGCACATCAATGAGCTCCTGAGTGAATGAGTGAACTAATACATAATATGGGGCTTTTAGCAATTGTTCAGTTATACTGTAATTGTACACTGAGGTAGTAACAGCCCCAGCCCCCTACACATAACACACACACACGCACACAAAAGAAAAGAAAGAAACAAAACAAAAACAAACAGAAAAATAGCAAAAGCAGATAATTATAGCTGAAATAAATGTCAAGGTACAGAAATTTATTCTTTCTGGTGTCCAAATTTGAACACTTTTGAATTCTCTGTTTTACAATATCAGCATATCAATATCCCAAAATATATTATCAACTTACTTATATTCAGCATCAATAAATATGGGTGATTTTTAGCTGCTTCCTGGGTGTCAAGGTGTGTTAATGCTATTTCGTGTGGGCTGCTCTGTGACAAATGTAACAGGTCCAACGATGAATTCGGTGTTGAACAGAGGCGTGTTCCTCTCTATTGTCTGACATCTGTAACATATAATGAAACATTCATTCACGCGAATAATGGTATGTGTGCGCTCAAATGACCTACAAGGGACTTTAGACCTATAATAAAATTTATAGATAGCAATGGATTTTACATACACGTGCACCAAATGCGGTGAAATTTGTCGTGACAATTTTTGTACTATATACATGTTGTGGCTTTTTTGGCAAGAACTGCATATTAAAACATCCTTTAAAATTGTCATGGATAATTCAACATCACTATTTCATTTCGAATTCATTTCATTTTTGTCAGAAACTGTCTGTAAAATTGTACTTGCCGCTACTTTGCCGCCATCTTGGATCCAGAGCAACCCACGCCTTGCCGCAGGTCGAGCTATAGATCGGATGTGACGTCATTATGGTTCAACCAAACTGAGTTCGTTCTGTGTATAGATCGACCCTAGTCGCCACTGGTCTCGCGCGAAGTCAGCCTACATGTAGGCCACATATTCTGACGTCATCAACCACGTCATATGACGTCATTAACCGTGAATAAGGATGTAAACTAACAAGACGAATGAAGCATTATTGATGAGATATATTCTGACGATGAGTTTCTGTGTGAACCTTAGAGATTAGTGTTGCGGATGCTGAAGTTTTTCATCGGTGACGGGACCTTTCAGCGTCACACCGTGGACTCATTGTAAGTATGTCGGCACATGATGATTAAATGAATAGTTAAGGATTAACTTTCTGTTTGCTCAAGGAGTCAGTATTGGTCATAAAACTCAGCACCATGACTCTTTATAAGGATGCAGTGTCAGGCACCACACTCAGCTCCATAACCCAGCACATGTAGTCAGTGTCAGGCTCCACACACAGCTCCATAACTCAGCACATGTAGTCAGTGTCAGGCTCCACACTCAGCTCCATAACCCAGCACATGTAGTCAGTGTCAGGTTCCACACTCAGCTCCTTAACTCAGCACATGTAGTCAGTGTCAGGCTCCACACTCAGCTCCATAACCCAGCACATGTAGTCAGTGTCAGGCTCCACACTCAGCTCCATAACCCAGCACATGTAGTCAGTGTCAGGCTCCACACACAGCTCCATAACCAGCACATGTAGTCAGTGTCAGGCTCCACACACAGCTCCATAACTCAGCACATGTAGTCAGTGTCAGGCTCCACACTCAGCTCCATAACCTAGCACATGTAGGCAGTGTCAAGCTCCACACACAGCTATATAAACCCAGCACATGTAGTCAGCGTCAGGCTCCACACTCAGCTCCATAACCCAGCACATGTAGTCAGTGTCAGGCTCCACACTCTGCTCCATAACTCAGCACATGTAGTCAGCGTCAGGCTCCACACTCAGCTCCATAACCCAGCACATGTAGTCAGTGTCAGGCTCCACACTCTGCTCCATAACCCAGCACATGTAGTCAGCGTCAGGCTCCACACTCAGCTCCATAACTCAGCACATGTAGTCAGTGTCAGGCTCCACAATCAGCTCCATAACCCAGCACACGTAAGCAGTGTCATGTTCCACACACAGCTATATAACCCAGCACATGTAGTCAGCGTCAGGCTCCACACTCAGCTCCATAACCCAGCACATGTAGTCAGTGTCAGGCTCGACACTCAGCTCCATAACCCAGCACATATAGTCAGTGTCAGGCTCCACACACAGCTATATAACCCAGCACATGTAGTCAGCGTCAGGCTCCACACTCAGCTCCATAACCCAGCACATGTAGTTAGTGTCAGGCTCCACAATCAGCTCCATAACCCAGCACATGTAAGCAGTGTCAAGTTCCACACACAGCTATATAACCCAGCACATGTAGTCAGCGTCAGGCTCCACACTCAGCTCCATAACCCAGCACATGTAGTCAGTGTCAGGCTCCACACACAGCTATATAACCGAGCACATGTAGTCAGCGTCAGGCTCCACACTCAGCTCCCTAACCCAGCACATGTAGTCAGTGTAAGGCTCCACACACAGCTATATAACCCAGCACATGTAGTCAGTGTCAGGCTCCACACACAGCTATATAACCAAGCACATGTAGTCAGTGTCAGGCTCCACACACAGCTATATAACCCAGCACATATAGTCAGTGTCAGGCTCCACACACAGCTATATAACCAAGCACACATAGCCGGTGTCAGGCTCCACACACAGCAATATAACCCAGCACATATAGTCAGTGTCAGGCTCCACACACAGCTATATAACCCAGCACATATAGTCAGTGTCAGGCTCCACACACAGCTATATAACTCAGCACATGTAGTCGGTGTGAGGCTCCACACTCAGTTATATAACCCAGCACATGTAGTCGGTGTGAGGCCCCACACTCAACTACATAACCCAGCACATGTAGTCAATGTCAGGCTCCACACACAGCTCCATAGCCAACACATGTAGTCAGTGTCAGGCTTCACACTCAGCTACATAACCCAGCACATATAGTCAGTGTCAGGCTCCACACACAGCTATATAACTCAGCACATGTAGTCGGTGTGAGGCTCCACACTCAGTTATATAACCCAGCACATGTAGTCGGTGTGAGGCCCCACACTCAACTACATAACCCAGCACATGTAGTCAATGTCAGGCTCCACACACAGCTCCATAGCCAACACATGTAGTCAGTGTCAGGCTCCACACACAGCTACATAACCCAGCACATGTAGTAGTGTCAAGCTCCACACACAGCTTCAGAACCCAGCACATGTAGTCAGTGTCAGGCTCCACACACAGCTACATAACCCAGCGCATGTAGTCAGTGTAAGGCTCCACAGACAGCTACATAACCCAACACATGTAGTCAGTGTCAGGCTCCACACTCAGCTCCATAACCCAGCACATGTAGTCAGTGTCAGGCTCCACACTCATCTCCATAACCCAGCACATGTAGTCAGTGTCAGGCTCCACACTCAGCTCCATAACTCAGCACATGTAGACAGTGTCAGGCTCCACACTCACCTCCATAACTCAGCACATGTAGTCAGTGTCAGGCTCCACACACAGCTACATAACCCAGCACATGTAGTCAGTGTCAGGCTCCACACTCAGCTCCATAACTCAGCACATGAAGTCAGTGTCAGGCTCCACACTCAGCTCCATAACTCAGCACATGTAGTCAGCGTCAGGCTCCACACACAAATACATAACCCAACACATGTAGTCAGTGTGAGGATCCACACTCAGCTACATAACCCAGCACATATAGTCAGTGTAAGGCTCCACACACAGCTATATAACTCAGCACATGTAGTCGGAGTGAGGCTCCACAGCTACATAACCCAGCGCATGTAGTCAGCGTGGGCTCCGCAAACCCAGTGTCAGGCTCCACACTCACATAACTCAGCACACATAACCCAGGCTCCACACTCAGCTCCATAACCCAGCACATGTAGTCAGTGTCAGGCTCCACACTCAGCTCCATAACCCAGCACATGTAGTCAGTGTCAGGCTCCACACTCAGCTCCATAACCCAGCACATGTAGTCAGTGTCAGGCTCCACACTCAGCTCCATAACCCAGCACATGTAGTCAGTGTCAGGCTCCACACACAGCTCCATAACCCAGCACATGTAGTCAGTGTCAGGCTCCACACTCAGCTCCATAACCCAGCACATGTAGTCAGTGTCAGGCTCCACACACAGCTCCATAACTCCAGCACATGTAGTCAGTGTCTGGGCTCCACACTCAGCTCCATAACCCAGCACACATGTAGTCAGTGTCAGGCTCCACACTCAGCTCCATAACCCAGCACATGTAGTCAGTGTCAGGCTCCACACTCAGCTCCATAACCCAGCACATGTAGTCAGTGTCAGGCTCCACACTCTGCTCCATAACTCAGCACATGTAGTCAGTGTCAGCTCCACACCGGCTCCATTGTAACTCCATATGTAGTCAGTGTCGGCCCACACTCAGCTCCATAATCAGCACATGTAGTCAGGTCAGGCTCCACAATCAGCTCCATAACCCAGCACATGTAAGCAGTGTCAAGTTCCACACACAGCTATATAACCCAGCACAGTAGTCAGCGTCAGGCTCCACACTCAGCTCCATAACGCAGCACATGTAGTCAGTGTCAGGCTCGACACTGAGCTCCATAACCCAGCACATGTAGTCAGTGTCAGGCTCCACACTCTGCTCCATAACTCAGCACATGTAGTCAGCGTCAGGCTCCACACTCAGCTCCATAACTCAGCACATGTAGTCAGTGTCAGGCTCCACAATCAGCTCCATAACCCAGCACATGTAAGCAGTGTCAAGTTCCACACACAGCTATATAACCCAGCACATGTAGTCAGCGTCAGGCTCCACACTCAGCTCCATAACCCAGCACATGTAGTCAGTGTCAGGCTCCACACACAGCTATATAACCGAGCACATGTAGTCAGCGTCAGGCTCCACACTCAGCTCCCTAACCCAGCACATGTAGTCAGTGTAAGGCTTCACACACAGCTATATAACCCAGCACATGTAGTCAGTGTCAGGCTCCACACACAGCTATATAACCAAGCACATGTAGTCAGTGTCAGGCTCCACACACAGCTATATAACCCAGCACATATAGTCAGTGTCAGGCTCCACACACAGCTATATAACCAAGCACACATAGCCGGTGTCAGGCTCCACACACAGCAATATAACCCAGCACATATAGTCAGTGTCAGGCTCCACACACAGCTATATAACCCAGCACATATAGTCAGTGTCAGGCTCCACACACAGCTATATAACTCAGCACATGTAGTCGGTGTGAGGCTCCACACTCAGTTATATAACCCAGCACATGTAGTCGGTGTGAGGCCCCACACTCAACTACATAACCCAGCACATGTAGTCAATGTCAGGCTCCACACACAGCTCCATAGCCAACACATGTAGTTAGTGTCAGGCTTCACACTCAGCTACATAACTCAGCACATGTAGCCAGTGTCAGA